TAACTCCTAATTGTACTAGATGCAACCACTTTGAAGATACTTTACACTTATTAAACTGTCATCAAGCACTATTTGACCCAACCCAAATAATTAATCAATACACAATCCAAACCATAACTGAACTTAATATTGAAAATACAAACTCTTCAACAATTACAAATATACTACTAAATACAAATATATACAATATACATTCTCAAAACCTTCTTCTTCTTATACAAGCAACAATTCCTTTTTATATTACAAATCAACTACAACTAATTTTTACCAAAAATACTACCAACTTCTGCCTCAACCTATCCAACAATCTTCTTTCTTAGTTTAATTTAAATATTTGGCAAACCAGAAACCAATTTCAACATAACTGGGAAATCTCAAGAAACATTACACCTAAATATAAACAAATAAAAATTTCTTTACCAAACACACTTCCCAAAAACCCCACAACAACAACTTACAATTACAACATCGATCTACTCATCCAAAAATAGCATAACTAAAACTTTTTTATTTACTCATATTTTTACTAATTTATATCCTAACTTTGGACCTCCTCTTTCCCCTTCTATAACTAATGATAGCTAGACTTAAATTAGTTTATAAACAGTAAATTAAGTGGTGTTTTGCTACACTTAGATGGTTATACAAGATACAATAGATAGTTAAAATTATCTTAATACAAATCTGTAACTTATCTTATCATGTATACAGCAAAATCAAAAAAAAAATAATAATAATAATAAAACAATAAAAAAAGAATAAAAAAGGGAAGAACTAACTAGGGTTCTGAAGTGCTAGACATGATACTATTAAAATATAATGCCTATACCAGATATTATGTTTTAATAGTATCATGTCTGGACACTTGCAGAACCCTAAAGCTAACCTTTCTAAACACATCCTCTACAGTATTATATTCACTTTGTGTCTTTCTTTTTTTTTATTAAATTCTTCTGTCATGACATACTGAGTTCAGTATGCACTTTCTAAGTGATGCCATAGTGGCTTGGTGATGCCTCTCTTTTCACAAGAAAACTCATCATGTTTGCACTTTAATACTTTATATTTAGCTATTTTTTTTTCCTTTTGCTATACAACCTTTCTAAAAAAATCCTACACCTCACTTCCATTACTTCACTTGCTAGTTGTACTACAATTATTATCAGTATCATTACTATAGTCATTACTATGGTTATTACCATGATCATTATCATGGGCATTATCATGATCATTATTATAGACATTACCATGATTATTATAGGATGTAACTTCTTCTAATTCCATAGATATAAAACTTATTCGTTGGCCTTTTTTTTTTTTCTTACTTAACCTGATCCAATTCACTTCCCTAAAAATAATCGTCTTTCAAATTATTTAAATAATTGCCTTTTAAATTATTTAAATAATTGCCTTTTAAATTATTTAAATAATTGCCTTTTTAAATTATTTAAATAATTGCCTTTTAAATTATTTAAATTATTATCACGATCAATATTACACTAATTATCATTATCATAATAAATATACTTATCAATCTTTTTAATATGCAATACAGTATGTTAAATAAATAAGAGAAAAGTATATAAGTTAAAACTCTATTTATAAGATAGTATGGGTTATAAGTTTATCATTATTATAATTATAAAATATACTTATCTTTTAATATACAATACAGTATGTTAACTAAATAAGAGAAAAGTTATAAGTTAAAGCTCTATTTATAAGATAGTACAGATTATAAGTTTATCGTTATTATAATTATAAAATATACATATCTTTTTAATACACAATACAGTATGTTGACTAAATAAGAGAAAAGTATATAAGTTAAAGCTCTATTTATATGATAGTATGAGTTATAGTTTATTAGACTCAATTTCTGAAAAGTTTTCAAAAATTGAGTCTGCTAAACTTTATACTGCAAAACCTTTTTTTTTAATATTTCATATTCGAACCCGAACTTGTTCATGAACTTCGAACTGAATCTAAACCAAATTTATTACTGTGTTTGAGTCTGGTTCAGGTTCGGGAATTACAAGTTTGAGTTCGGATTCAGATTCGAAGTTAGTAAAATTTACTGTTCAAGTTCAGTTCGAGTTCGGGTTTAACCCAAACTAAACTGAACCCAAACTGAACATAGGAACCCTAGTAGTAAGAACATTAAAATCGGCTTGGTAGTTCTTAAAAAATCTTTAAAAACTTCTTTTTCACATAAAAATTTTCTTTAAAAAAAATCAATTTTTTTTAAAGAAATTTTATATGTAAAAAAGAAATTTTTTTAAAAATTTCTCAAGAACAACCAAGTCGATTTTAATGTTCTTACTACCATTAGATGCATCTTGATGAGCTTTACAACTTTTGTTACTAACCCAAAAGTAATTTACTTAATAAAAAAAAAGTTTTAGATAGAGATGCTCCAGATTCAGGCTTATAATAAAATTTATATATAAAAAAAATATTTTTCTTCTGTTGACTGAAGAATTATCAATTAACTTTCGAACCAGTAGCAACTATTACAGTTGCAACTGCCTTGTATAAACGTGTAAACTCAGGACGTTAGTCTGGGAACTGTGATCAAGAAGTCCAAAACTTTGTTCAAACATTAGAAAAAGTAAAACAACTTGTTCCAAACGGAGATTCGTTGCGTCTAGAAAAACTCCGAAGTTTTGGAGAAGGTGAAGTTTTAGAACAACGGGTAAGAACATGTTAATATTTATTTAGCTTTTGTAATCATGATGATTTGTGTCCACTGGTTGCATATGTGGAAGCATATTGGTAATAGGTAGTCTGGTGAAGATAGTAGTTGGATGCTGTTACTGTGTGCTATCAACATTTGTGATCAGATTAATATCTGTAATAAGGGCCCGATGATGAATAAATCTATCAATATCTGAACCCGCGCGGGTATTTTAGTACCATCAGTTTTATATGATTTCGGACAACTTATTTTTTAAATTTGGCTTAGGTAATAACTGCAGTTGAAGATATGGCCTCACTTTTAGAGTTGAATGCTTTAGTATGTATAATTGTCGGATTTTTTATATAGGTTTGGTTTATAATATTAAGCTAATGTTACATAAATGTTGCAGAACGTGGATATAGAATCTTGGATCGATGATGCAGAAAACAATTTAAATATGTTAAAGCGGAATGTAGCTCATGTATGTTTATTTTTTCTTATGATGCTATATTTTTTTGTCTTATTTTACTAACAAAAGTTTTAGGCCGTAGCAAACGCAAATACAGAGGACGAGAAACTTCTATGGCAAAGACTGGAGAATGATTTAAAGAATGTTGAATTGAATAAACTGCCATATAATCACCCACTTTGCTCTGGTATATTAGATATCGAGTCATCACCTATCTCTGATCTACCGGAAACTCTTCGTGATGTTTTTGAAAAAAATACCAAACTAAAATTTTGTATGGATAACAATGAAATGTTATTGCAAACTTGCGAAGAGTTTATTCAAGAGGTAAGTATTAGAGTAGAGGAACCACTATTGGAAGCTCGTGATCCTCCATTCGGCCAATGGATAGAGAATTCTGAAAAGTTGAAAAATATAACGAAACGATTATTGGAAACATTGTAAGTTTATTAATGATTGTATTACTGGCTGGTAATATAATAAAAATAATATAATTTTTAGGTATCAGGTTTGGTTTTTGCCAAAATATAAGTCGTATGTTTTAAACCAGACGGTTATAAATGAGGGATCATATGTTTGCGAAGTTTTAGCACCGTTATTTAGCATTGTCTTAGGTGATTTATTAATAAAAGATGAGACATGGAGAATATGGTAAGTAAATCAGTTTTCGTTTCGGATGATATTAAAAGGTGCCAACTTTATTTCTTAAAAATTAGGGGCGATATGGCGAGTTGGCCCGATACCATACAAAAAGGTGATTCACGTATCGCATGTAGACCAGATCTTATGTTTATTGCATATTTAAATGATCAAAGAATTGATCTTTTAAATATGGAGACTGGTCTCCTAAACGAAAACAGAAACAAGATCATTTAAAGTTAGCGCGACTTGCAAAAAATTCGATAGATTTTGCAAGAACCCATCTTAAGCAATACATTAAAAAGGGAATATTGAGTAATTTGTTATCAATATTTTCTATCAATGTCGATGGTATGTTGGAGCAAAAAAAATGACCGCTTATTAGTCAAATCTAACAAGTAACATTTTTAGGGGATGATTTAAGAATTTATAATATGTGTATGGAATATGGAATTCTTACTAACCCGAGCGACTATACCATTACACACAGTATCAGCTGATACTGTTTATCCACTTATTCATTCGTTGCTTACTTTAAGGGTATTAAAAATTTTTTCCTAATAAAATTATAAAATTTTAGGAACCCTTGAAAACAAGTCGGAAAATAGGTATAATTCTGATGAAAAAACGGCTAAAACAATCAATCCTCCCAAAAGGCGCAAATCCAACCTAAAATTCAAATCGAAAAAAAGCTCAAATTTCAAGAAAGTATCCACATCTTGATTTTTTTCTTCTATTTATTTTTATCTTTATATTTTTTATACAATAAAGCTGACCCTAGTGGCCGAATTTCGCGTGTTTACTTTTGCATGTGTATTTCGTGAATTTATTGTATTGTATTATTATCAATGTACATTAACTCGCATGTGATCGTGATAGAGTATAAATTTTTTTTCACGCAGGCATTGGTCCGTAGACAATAGTATAGACATCATGTATCTAGGGTTGGAGGCACGGAAAATTTTTTGGGCATGCCCCCTGGGCATGCCTCCAATTTTTTTGTTTTAAGGGCATGC